CAACTGTAACTTCACAAACTGGGTCTCCATCGTCTGCGTTTCTCTCAACTAATATATGGCGGAGACCAGTTTCCTACCTGGCCAGCCTAGATCTTGAGTCTCCCCCACCCTGTGTGTGTGTGTGTGTGTGTGTGTGTGTGTGTGTGTGTGTGAGAGAGAGAGAGAGAGAGAGAGAGAGAGAGAGAAGGTTATCGTCTTCCCTTTGACTCCAAAACAGATCTATCTGTCCTAGTAGTCTGTAAGGAATCACAGAGTACCATGGATGGCTAGAAGGCCTGGGAAAGCAGGTCAGTCTACAGAGTCCTTTAGACCTCCCAAACTGAAGCCCTGGCCCATAGCTTCTTAGATAGAATGAGACAGACTTCAGGCAAGGGAGACTGGCAGCCACATCCTGGGCTGTTCAGACACCCCCAGACTGGAAAACATCCTTTGGGGGGAAAAATGAGGACATGAAACCTCTTGCTACAGTACCTATCACTCTGCTAAGGACAGTGAAAACACAGTCTGTCATACTTGACATTTTAATTGGGAGAAAAGCTTACATAGATTGCAGCCGTAAGCGCTGTGTTTATACAAGTGCATAAAGAGGAGTAATCTGTCAAGTTGGAAAACTCCTAATGCGGCCTCAGTTCAGTAATTGAACAATCCAACATGAGCTCACACATTTACCTTGTTCCATGCCTCAATAATTTTTAGTAGAAATACTTCACCTAGAGGCATATGGTTATTAAAAAGAAGGCTCAGCTTGCTCAAAGTCTGGAATTACTAGCTCATGGCAACAAGCCTGCACTGGAGAAAGACTGTCGGGGCTTTGTTTCCGCAACTCCGCTGCTTTCTTGCCATCTGATTTGCAGAATCTAAGTGATGTGTTGTTGAGAAGATTTTTCATTTATTTACTTGTTTTGTTTTTTTTGTCTAAAAAACAAAACGAGAAAATAGAATCTCACATGGGTGAATGACCTCTCGTATTAGTAGAATTCTGAAATTTCACTACTTAGTGGTAAGTTCAGAGAGTGGTGTGCACATCAAAAGAAATGGACCATGAAGTTATTTTATCATAAGAATCAATAATAACTTAGTTACAGGAACCATGGAGGTGCGAGGCAAGGGACACTCTGCTCCCTTCCATGATGTGTGTGACTGTGGACAAATGAGAATTCTATCTAAATTCAGTCCACTCCTGAGTACAGGGGGCAGGAACATGACCCTACCATACTGCATAGCTTCAGGTCACGTGAAACTGGGGCATGGAAACATTCTGAAAATTACTGGAAAATAGCAACTTAAACATAGGAAGTTTTATTCAAGAGTTCTATAAATTAAATACAAAATTAATTAATTAATTAATGCATGCAAAGGGAACGAGATGATGCCTGCATCTGTTCTGGCTTCAGTGGTGTGAATAGCCTGGATAAATGGACAGCTTCTTTGGACCTATTGACAGGGACAATTCTTCATGTGTTTGTTGTGCAGGCTTAACTCAGGTTCTCACCCTCGCTGAGCACACTGTGTCCACCAAAGCACATCCCCAGCCCTTTTATTCTGTAAGGCATGATGGCTACATTCAGATCTTACTTTTTTCACTTTTTATAGTCAAGTAAAGAACCCAGAAAACTCTGTTGGTTTGGTAGAACTGTCTGGGGAGCTAATGCACGGAATCGATGGAAGACAGTAACGTGGAAATTGTTCAGGATTCAAGCAAACAGGCATCTTGAGTAGTCTTATTTCCTTCCAAGTATACATTGCTAACTGGGCTGATTGGCATCTCTTGGCAACTCTTCTGATCCCTGGGGTGCCAGGTCCCCTGAAAGGCTTTCTTAAGTAAAGAGGAAATACTTGATATTTTAAAATCTAGTAGATCTATTCAGGGTGTGGAAATAACTAACCTAATTATTGGATTAAATGAAATATTCTGTTCCCTAGTGATTCAATACACTTGGGAGTTTCCAGCCTTCGGAGAAGAGTGAAAACTCATTTTAAATTGAATTACTTTGCCATTTCCATTCATATCCATTGGATTGTTTAATTAAGTTCCTTCTTAAAAAAAAATCACACACACCCCAATACCATCTGGTGACTAAGTCTGTTTTTTAACATTATCAGGTTAGAAACAGAAGGTAAATGGTAGTGATATACGTTCTGCCCTCTGCTCTTGAGCACGATCTTGCAGGCCGATGCGACTCGTAGAGAGATTTCAACTGTCTTCCTCTTAAGGGTTTTTGTTTTCTCGGAGCAGCACTTGAAGCTTCCTCCTAGTGACCAACACTTGGTGACAGATGATGTCCACGCATGTGTAGACATGTTTGAATAGGCTTCTACTTGGGCGGATAGAGCTGGTTGACAAGTTTTGTGGAGAGTTCTCTCTTGGTGAATATTGCCTCTTCTGAAGCTGTAATTCAGATGATGAACTTTGGACCTGAGGGAACCACTAGTGAGTTGTTTTTTATAAGAGAATTATTTATTTTAATTTTATGTGTAAGAGTGTTTTTTTTTTCTTCAAGTATGCATGGGCACCATATGTGTGCCTGCTGTTCAAGGAAGTCAATAGAGGGTATCAAATCCCCTGGGACTGGAATTCAGATGATTGTGAGCCTCCACGAGGACATGGGAATTAAACCAGGGTCCTCTGAAATGTCAGTGAGTAATTTTCCCCACTGAGCCACCTCCCCGGCATTGAGTAACTGTTCAACATGCAACTCTTTTCAGCAAAGTTTTTAAACAAATATCAAAATGGGGACTTCAAACAAGTGTCGTTTGTTGACCAGGTTCCATTCTCTTGGGTTGTGCTAACCCCCTCTAAAGAGACTTAGTGATGGAGTAAAGTCATAATCTCAATGAACAGTGGTTCTCAACCTTCTTAATGCCGAGACCCTTTAATACAGCTCCTCATGTTGGGGTGACCCCCACGCATTACCTTATTTCATTGCTGCTTCAGAACTGTATTTCTGCTACTGTTATGAACTGTAATGTAAGTATCTGATATGCAGCATAGTTTTAGGTGACCCTGTGAAAGGGCCATTTGGTCCCCAAAGGGATTACCACCCACTGGTTTAGAACTGCTGACCTGTGGTGTTTGAGAGCAGCTAGACCCCAAAGCCCGATAGAACTCTGGATGCCCAAGGACATTCACACCTAATCTAGTCCCAGTGGTCAGGTCTTCTCTGCAGAGGTCCACAGGGCACTTATTAAGAAATAGCCTTAGTGATATATTTGAAAATACTCAGTCCTTTGTTGTAAGCTTCCTATGCTAACCTACTTCGGTTTCTTCTCACTCATACCCTATTAGTGCAGTCCTGCACATCTATGCAACCTCTGTGCTGTGCTTTGTCTGCCTTTGTCTTCATATATGTACCTCCCTGTGCATTTCAGTCTTGACTAACTCCTGACTAATTTTTCCAGGGCGCCTGCAACTGTGATAAATAGCTATATTTTCAAAGAGAGCTCTCGGGCAAAAACAGTGGAAAACTTAATCTTCTTTGGAATTTTAACAGCCATGTGAAGGAAGAGCCTGCTGGCACTCTTTTCCCATCTTGGCCCCCAGTTCTCTTTGAGTCACTAAGTCACCAGAACTTCGTGGAAGAGTAGCTGCTTCTACTAACCAGCTGTGACCCCAACTGAGCTGTGGCATCCTGACAGTTCCACACAGTGCCTTGGTGCTGTGATGGGATTCTGGACTGGGTGTGGCACTCTATTGAGGCTCTCATGGTACCATGATGCTCTCCCAGGGCTCCAGACAGTGCCATGTACTCTGCTGGGGTTTTGGACAGGTTCACGGGTCTCGCTGGACTGTGCTCCCATGCTAGGCTATGATGCGCGGGTTAAACTCTACTAGTCAAAGCCTTGTGCTATCCTGGGGCTGTGGAGGGGCCAGGGTCTCCATGTTGAAGGAAGTCTGTGACCTATACATAATCCCTTTAACTGTAGCCTTACCTAGATTTTGGCAGAAGGAATCACATGTTTTATTACCTTTAGAAAACTCACCGATTCTGGAAGTGGGACATACAGGATTAAAGGGTTGAATAGAGAAGACTCAGGCCCTTTTCTGTTTGCCATTTACTTTAATTTCATGACTTGATGTTTATCCAGCTCCAGAGAGCAGACGTCCGAGGAGATTGCCACAAGGTCACTTGTTTGCTATTTTTAATAAACACAAATACTCCCTTTTCCCCTCAGCTCCACATTCCTTGGCCCATTAAATCAATTTCAGGTTCTTAATTTTTTTTTTGTTTTGTTTTTTGGCAAGATGAAGTAAAATTTTCAAACTATGCACTCCCCTGGGAAATGCTGACTCAAATCCTGCATATCAGGTCCAAATCAGTTTCTGTCAAACAGTCTCACACCTCACATTATTATGAAATGAGAGATTGGTAATAGGGGGCTGAACTCTGGCCTTCTCTAAGACAGGCTGAGTTCAGTGCCAAGCCCCGTGGTCCAGCTGCATTTGTACCCTAACTTTGTTTTTTTCCACTCATAGTGGAACTACCAAAAAAAAAATCAAGAAGTATTTCTGCCAGGAATACATGAATGGAGCTTGCTCTGTTACTGTGGAATGAACTTGGACCTGGAGCAAAGGCAGGCAGGCTTCAGGACAAAGGCGTGTGCTAAAATACCAGTGTCCCCAGATCCTCAGCACTAAGACACTCCAGCGGCCGAGCCTGGAATAAACTGGGCAATTCTGCTCCCGAGTTTCTTGCTTAGAAGCAGAGACCATTGGAGACACAGCAGCATGTTTCCACTGAACATCAGTTAGACAACGGGTCAGGAAATGAAGTAGAATTTGATGTATTAACTAGGAAGCAGCAAAGGAAATCAGGCATGTGTTTTATTTGTTATTATTTCCCTAATATCCTCAATTATGTGGCTCTCCCGTCAGAGGATCGGATCTGTTTGCCTGTGATGTTGGTGTCCCCGTTGCTTTTGGATGCTGGGTAGCAGACCCAGGCCATCAGGAATAATGTGTTGTTTTTGTGTTTTTGTTTTTTGTTTCTCTTTATCCCCAGGCCTGTCCCAGGCTCTCTATCATCTCTGCTCCATCTCCACAACAGACAGAGGCAGCCCATGCCGGCCTCCATGCCTGGGACCCTGCCCAACCCCACCATGCCAGGATCTTCTGCCGTCTTGATGCCCGTAAGCATTTTTGAGTGGGGGGAGCTTATAGTGATTCCCCATTAGTACTGAGGCTCTAGAGAGAAAAGTAGATGCTGAGATCTGAGCTTCCGGGGAAGAAGTCAGTGGCCTCTGAGTGTGTTGGAGCTGTGGGTCAAATTGCACATTGTAGTCAGGTGCCCACCCATAGGCCTCTCTGGTCTTTTGGGGTTTTGCTGTGAAGCAGGGTCTATTCCATCTGTTGGTGGCAAGTGAGCCCACCACACCTAAGAAATTTAATTTGTTCAGAAAGATATTGTTTTATAGCCATAGTCAGCCCTCTACCTGTGATTCTACACTCACAATTCAGCCAACCTTGAACTGAAAATATTGTTTAAAAATACATATTTTCTGAACACCTACAGACTTTTCTGCTTATTATTATTCCTCAAACTTGGTTTAGCAACTTTTTACAGAGCATTACTATAGTATTAGGTAGTACAATATAATATAGACTAAGTGGAAGGGATATGCAGATTATATGTAAATCTTGTACAGGGGACTTGAACAGTCAGTTTTGGGTACCAAAGCAGAGGCTGGTGTTCTAGTGCTAATTTGGTATGGATACCAAGGGATGACTGCAGTTCTGTGTCCTCATCAGGAATCATATACAGGGGCATCCAGTGGATAGTGATGGTTCTAGACAGAACCCAGGGCAATGATTAAATGATCACATCATGTTTTATAAATGGTAGCAGTTTCCAAGTGCTTGGTACATGCACTTTGTCAGCACATGAAACGGCCCTGCAAGGAGGTCTATAGTGGTCCCCATCTTTTGAAAGAAGGAAATTAGGTCAGTGACTTGTTCATCCGAGAAGCAGAGATCTGGATTCTGAACTCAGGAATCCTGGCTCCAGAGTCTGCTCTTTCAACTACCAAGTGATGGGTGCATTCTCTTTTCCTTCCCAGCACATCACTGAGGGACGTACTTGTTTACTGATGTCACAGATGAGAAAGTGGGGGCTCCCAGAGTTCTGCCTCCTGGCTAAGGGTATACATCTGGTGGGTGATAGTCAAGATCTAAATCAAGAGTCTGACTCCTGACTTGCTGATTTTTGTTTGAAATATGGGCTCACTGTGTAGCTCAGGCTGGCCTTGAACTCTCGTCTCGACTCTTGGTGCTGGTTCACAAGGCATGTACATTGCACCTGACCTCAAAAGTTTCCACAATCAGTTAGCAGGTTCTATATCCTGTTTCCCTTCTGCGTGGGGAGCCAGAGGGGAGCAGAGGAAGTCTGGCCCTCTTCTAGGACTCTCCCTCTTTCCATCTGCCTAAGCTTAAATGAATAGGACCACAGGAACTCTTGAAAGCCCTAGAAGCAGTATGACAACCAGTTAGCAACCCTCCCACAACACACTGATCACGACCCTTTTAGCATTTTAGGGTGTCGTCAACCGGATTGTGCCACTCTGTGCCCATGGTAACCCCAAGGGGATTCGGTCCCTGCAATTTCTGGAAAGCTCACTTCCGGATGAAGAGCTAGAGGGCAAGCGGTTGAAGGCTTAAGGTCTAAAGCAAAGATTGTGAGTGGAGCCCACGTCTCACTTCACACAAGCAGCTCCTTTATCTCCTATTGAGCCATTGGCTCCGTTAGTGGGGTAGGCTGAGGAACAGAAAAGATCGTGTGAACTCAGTTCAGACAAATGGCCCGTCCCACTACAAATGCTTGGTGGTCCAGGCTGGAAGCCCTTCGTACACTATAGCTAGAGGATAGGTGGAGGGTCTGGCTACTTCCCCTAGACTGGCTGGCAGAGGAGAACAGCACTATTAACACAGACATCCCTGCTTTCATTCAGTTCAAATTTCATGGAGATTTTGACCACAAGCTGTCCTCACTCAGCTGCTACGTCCCACTTGCCCAAAGTAATTTTCTTCTCAGTATTTCTACACAATACCTAGAAAAATGCCACACTAGAGAACTTTTGTTTCTATGTAGTTATCATTTCCAGGATGAGATGGGAGCTGGAAACCCTGAAAACCTAGCACCCCTCTTTCTACTTTATCCTATCCTGGCTTGACCCGCTGCAAATGCTTTAGGATAGAAAGAAGCGGAAGATTCAGGTGAATGGTCAAGAACCAAAATAAACAGAAAGTCAGGAGCATGGCCTCTGCAGAAGTTCCCAAACCATAGTCCATGGTGGAATACAGCTGTCCCGGCAGCGGGTGTCATGCAGAGCAGTGATGGACAGAAAGGGTGGGAGGGTCATTTTGCCCCTCAGGAAATAGTAGGCAATATGTGGAGACACTGTTAGTTGTCACAGCAGAAATGGGGTGTGAAGTACGGTCGGTGGTTAGTGGATAGGAGCTAAGGATACTGTCAAGTGTCTCACAATACACAGAACACTCCCACAACACAGAAGTATTTGACTCAAAGTATCAATAGTGCCGAAGTCATTCATGAAAATCGAAGCAAAATCTCAAAGAAATATCCCTAGGATCCCCAGACCCTTGAAGTTTAGGTTCTTCTTCCTTAGTCACGTTACCAGCTCCTGTGCTGTGACTCTGTCTTCTGACTGTCAGTCAAGGCTGCTCTTTCCCCGAGAGTCCCTGCCTTGGAAAGATCTCGAGGACCCGGGCATCCAAATTGAAATTAGGTGAAGGTGGGATTCTTAATTGTTTCACGATGGCATGATGCTTCCAGGCCACACCCTTCACAAAAGCTTGATCCAAAGTACATGATCAATCTGTCTGCCTGTCTGTCTGTCTGTCTATCTATCTGCCTGCCTGCCTATCTATCTATCTATCTATCTATCTATCTATCTATCTATCTATCTATCTATCTAT